TCCCCCTCCTCTTCCATCTCCCCCTCCTCCATCTCCTCCTCCTCTTCCTCTTCTCCTCTCTTAAAAACCTTCCCCGTGGGGTTGGAGGAGGGCTTAAGTGGTAGAGCACCTGCTTTGCAGGTGTGAGGCCCTGATTTCAAACCCCAGTGCCATCAAAACAAAACACAAAACAAAAACCCTTCCCAGCAGTCTGTAAGTCAAGGGTCCAGAGAGGAAGAGCTGCCCCCTGTCCTGTCCCTGCTCTGGCTTCTCTGGTTCTGGTCCTGACACCCTCTCCCCAGCCTTGGTCACTCACTGCCCCTGCACACCTCCCTGTCTGCAGTCCTCCCTGCCACCCTCCTTTCTGTGGCCCGTGGCCTCTCTCTGTGGCACATGCGGTTAGCTGTGACTTTTGTTTTGTTGTCACTATGGTTCCACTTGTCCTTCTTTGCCAGTCACCACCATCAGAGCTTCGAGCTGAAGGGTCAAGCCGCCTCTAGACTGTGCCTCCCATCATGTAATCTCAGCTGTTGGCTTGCTCTGGAGAAACCCTCCCTTCACGGGCCCGTGTCCCCTGCCAAACTCGCCTTGTCTCTGGGCCACAGCACGTCTGCGTCCGAGCCGTCCCTGGCCTGCCATCCTGGGAGCCCCTTGCCTCTTCCCCTGTTGTGACCCGACTCCAGCTTTTCATGCTCTTCTGGCGTAAGAGGCATGGTAGGTAGAAGTGTTTCTGAGACTTGGGATGTCTTAAAATTGGTCTTTTTAAAATTTTTTTGGTGGCACTGGGGTCTGGGCAGGTGCTCTACTCCTTGAGCTACCAACTGAGCCCGCTGTGCTTTTCTTTTCCGGACGGGGCCTCCTGCCCCGGGCTGGCCTAGGACTGTGGCCTGGCTCCACCACCCTCGGCCCTTCCCAATTTTCTTGCCCCTCCGCCTCCATAGTTTGTCTGGGAGCAGAATCCCATTAGAAATGTGGTTTCCCTAGAAGGTGACAGCACCTGGTCATTGTCCTTGGGCCTTCCTTCCCTGCCGGGAGGTGCTGAGGCTTCTACACTACCAGAGTTTTCTCTCTGGAACATTTTGGGATCTTTTCTTTATCCCTGCTGCCCTGAAATTTCACGGTGGTGTCTTTTTTTCTTTCTTTTACAGTTTTTCATCATCTAGAGTCTGGTGCTTAATTTCTGGGAGGCTTTGTTCTTAAAATATTTTGATGTTTTCTTTGTTCTGTGAGTCAGGTGGCAGGCGGGCTGAGGCCCTCTGATTTCATTATCTTCCTTCTCCCCTGTCATTCATTTCCTTGTTCTTTTGTGCCTATTTTCCTGGTGTCACCGCCCGTGTTCTCCAGCGGTCTCTCTGCAGGGCACCCACAGGCTCGTTGTTTTCCGTCTGTGAGGACAATTTTTCTGCCATCTGTTCGTTGTGTCTACCCCACCCCTAGGCTCACATCTGGGTCTCTGTCTTTAATTTAAAAGTTTCCTTGCAAACTTTTTGCCCAGGCTGGCCTCCCTCGGCCATTCCCCGCATCTCCCAAGTAGCTGGGATTATAGGCGTGAGGCTCCGCTCCCGGTCATCTTGGTGTTTCTCAAAGCGACGTGTCTGCGATGCCAGCCTGCGCTCTGCCATGGTGTCGAGGCTGTGTTCACGGTGTGGGCGACTCGCTTACATTCCCGCTGGGCAGTGCGACGCAGAGGGGTTTATTGACTATCTAGTGATCGCTGCGTCCCCCAGACTCGCACCGCCAACGCCTGGAAGCCCCCAGAGGCCCCCAGCTGACTGAGTTGCCGCAGTCTCGTGCCTGAGACGGCACTCGCGTCAGGGTGGGGGCGTCTCTGCCCTTTGATCACCAGTGGAGCAAGTTCACTTTTACGACACCAAAAATGAGGTTAAAAAACCAAACACTGGGCATGGTGCCCTGCTGTGCGGAGGCTCGGGTGGAGGATCGCAGTCAGAGGCCGGCCCTATCTGAGAAATGAGAGTTTGGGGAAGTAGCTCAAGTGGTGGAGCCCCTGCCTCGAACAGGTGAGGCCCTGAGTTCAAACCCCAGTGCTGGCAAAAGCCAAAAGAAAACCAACTCTGTCTTTCAGGAAACTCAGGCGTGCCTGTCAAGATCCTGGGGGGTTTTTTGTTTTTTAATGAAATTCAAGTTACCGCTCTTTGCACTCAGGAGAACCGGCCTCTGGACGAGTGGCTCTTTGGTGCTGGCGCTTCCCTTCACCCACCTCTGTTTCGTGTCCTTTCTCTTCCTAGGGCAGTGTCAGTGTCAGCTGTCCCCTCCCCAGCACCTCTGCTGCTGTTTTTAGGATCCCCACCCAGAAGCACGCTCGCAGAGTCACCTTCAAAGTTGGGGACCAGACCCTCGCTCTCTGCCCTCCCATTTCATCCCTCGCGTCCTCCCTGTGAGCTCTGCGGGGAGAAGCGTCTGCTCCCCTGGGGACCCAGGCCATGCCAGCGTCTCACCGCCTCCCCCTTCTCTCTCTCTCTCTCTCTCTCTCCCTCTCTCTCTGTCCATGTCCCCGTCTCCCCGTCCTCTTCCTCCATTTCCCAGGAACAAGGTTCCCCAATCCCGTCGGAGTTTTTCATGAAACCCCCTGGTTCTAGCCATGTCTGATACCGTAAGACTTCAGATGGAACCTTCTGGAAATGGCCCTGCCATTCTGGGAGTCGATGTGGCTCTTCCCTCCTGTGGGCTCCCAGCACATGTGTGTCACTGAGGCACGTTGAATGCCCCCTGAACTCACAGCCCGCTGTCACCCCGGAGCACTTGGGGACAGCCTGTGTCCCCGAGGGAGTCAACTTCCCTGTGAGGGGCCGTCACTCCTGCCAGGCACGTCCTGGAAACCGCACCCCACGCCTCTGCGTCTGCCTGTCACCCGGGGAGCACACTAATCAAGAGTTCTTGACTCGTAGCCGGGTTGACAGAGCCAGGCGGCCACAGGTGGCTTTTGTCCCCAGCAGAAGCTTGCGGAACAGAAGTTGCTCAGAACACCTCAGTGCGGTAGGATGGTGGCGGCAGTTTGTTCCTCTGCCTTGCTACAGTCCCGAGTCTGTGTCCAGGTTGTGACAGATGGGACAGTGGCCACCTTTGTAAGGCACGCACGCCCCCGGCTCTTCTGGGGGGTTTTGGGGAACGCACAGGTTTGTGGCTGGCTAGGCCTCCCTGTAAGTCCAGCCCGGTCTTGGCTCTGGATTTGACCTGGGCCAGGTCCTTTATCTGCTGGGGGTGACAAGTCCCACCCTGCAGGGCCCGTGGAGGTTTGAGTCCCACATCCAAATTCCTCGACTCAGGCTGCACTTGTCAGATTGTCGCCCTCTTCCCGTGGACGAGTCAGTGCTGGCCGCTTTGCAGGGACTCTCCCAGGTGGCACACGCAGAGCTCTTAGAATTGGTAACGCTGATGCTTTGAAATCTGCCTCGCTCTCAGTGACCGGTCGCCATGAGTGTTCTTTTCTAAGAAAGATTTTAACCATCCCACAAAGAACCTGTACCCACCGATCTTCTCAGACTCTGATTTTGGGGGACATTACAAGAATATCATTAAAAAAAAAAAAAGACTCCTTTTTAACCACTTCCTGCCCCAGGTGCTTAAGACAAGGGTAAAAGGGAAGAGATTGCAGAAGACGTGACAGGACCGGGACCAACTGGAGGAGGAACAGCAGGCAGGAGAACAGGGACAGTTGTGAGGGACCAGGAGCTGTGCAGACAGACAGACAGACAACACGCTGGCAGCTGAGAAGCGTGTGCGTGGGCCACACGCCCTGCAGAGTCCTCCTGTACCAGTCATCGTGCAGACGGAAAGCCCCGTGACCGTCAGCTTGGCTCTTCACGAGTTTGTTGAGTGGCTGTGTGTCGGTCACCAGGCAAAAGACTCTGACACTCCAGGGTCGGGTGAGAGCCACAAGCCCTGCTCCTTTACTTAGCATGTCAAATGAAAAATGTGCCAGTCGTCTCTTTTCATACAAAACGGACTTCCCATACAACTTAGCCTGTTTTTATTTTCATCCAAAAACAAGCACACCCCTGGAGAGCAAATTTAGAATGATGTAATGAATAACTCGCTCTTACCTGTGATTAGAAACTTTGTCTAACACGGTGACCTGTCTTGAGTGACTGTGTGTGTGTTTTTATGATAAGCTAATTTAAAAAAATAATTTAGGATCTTACTTAAAAATGTAATGTTTCTTTCGTGATCTTGTTATGTTCTGTTTTCCAATCTCGGTACAACGCCTTCTGTCTTTGGGGATTTCCAAAAAGGAGTATTTGTGTGCTGACACGCCCAGAGAGTCCCCTTGCCAAAGGAACCGAGACAAGTCCCACACGAGGGAGGTGACATTTTCAGGTTTCTTAACTGGGGTAATGAGGGAGGGGTAGGAAGGCACTAATTTGGTACATTTACGTTTTAAATAAATATACAACACAGATTAAATTAATAAGCGTATGACATTAAAATTAGTTAATTTACTCAGCTTTACTGTTCAGCCCCTGTGACAACAGCCGGCAGTAATTGAGCACTTGCTGTGTACCAAGCACGATTCTGAGTTCTTTAATGTGTGGCCCTGACAGTCCCCGAGGTGGAAACCATGACCCATTTTTATATATGAAGAAACACAGACAGAGGGGCAAGTTCCCTCAAAGACGGTATCCAGCAGAGATGGGACTCGAACCCAGGACGTTCTCATCACCAAGCACAGCGCCGCGCTTACTCAGGGGACAGAACCAGAAGCCGATGGAGAAGTTACTGCAGTTTCTTCCGAGACCTCAAAGCTTGTCGTTGAATGTGTCACTAATCGGCGACGAGGGCTGGGTTTGAGGTGCCGGAGGTGCCAGAGCGAGGGGGACCAGCTGGGCCTGCGGACCTGGCACTGGTCATTAGCAGGCCGACCTTTGGCCCAGGAAGTCGACCTCTGGCTACATCGAAAGACAGTGTTTGGGGCCCAGGCTGTTCTTGAACCCCTGGACCCAAGTGATCTTCCTGCCTCAACCTCCTGAGTAGCTGGGACCACAGGTACGCGCCCCGGGCCGGCGATGCATGTGCTTTTCGTCACACACCCCACCGTTTGCAATGTGGATCCTGACCACCTGCGTCTCTCCCGCTCCCTGTCTCTCGCTCTGACACCTGGCTTCGGAGTCACGCGACTGGGACCGGGGCACGACCTGCTGGGATGGCCGCAGGTCGGGAGGTCTCCTGCCTCAGGCCCGACCCCCGTAGCAGGAGGGGACCTGACTTCCCTTCATGGATCCATGCCAAAGTCCCCGGTGTTTGACATCCAGCACCGCTCCAGGGAACTCGGGGATTCTTCTCCATCCGATTAAACTGTCGTCCACCAGCCTCTGCAAATAAGCTCTCCTTCCTTCCAGAAACGTCTCCTGTGCCCCCTTGCTTCTGCGTGAGTCTCTCTCTCTCTCTCTCTCTCTGATTCTTCATCTCCCACCCTGCCAAGGTCAGTTTATGACTTCGTGTAAATACTGTCCTGGAAGGGCCAATGGCACCTCCAGGTCAACCCGTGCTGAAATTCAAGTTGGCTGCAAGCGTGTCCTCAAACGGCACCGATCGCCGTGGGATGTCCCCTGTCCCAGCCGAAATCCCTACGGAGCAACTGGAATGGACTGAGCGGGGTTTTCTGGCTTGCACTTCAATAAACTGCAGCTGCAGGTGAGACCAGAGGGAGAAAGTTCCTCAAATAACCCTAAGTGACAGTGTCAGGGGACCAAGGGCCATCGTCACCCATCGATTCAGCTCCCTAACTACCAGGACTCAGGCCCTTTGCTCTGCTGTCGTCTGTGGGCCAGGCTGTATGTAGAACGGGGTCCTGCAACAAGTACTCCTGGGGGGAAGTGGAGGAGGGACACGGAGGGGCAAGATGGAGTCAGGCCTGGCCTCTGACGCCTGTCCTTGTCCTCAGCACTTCCCACCCTTCAGGCGGGAGCAGCTGCGCCCTGCCGTGGGCCCTCAGGGACGCCTGTGGCCTCGTGTCAAGTTTACACAGAGCACCAAGTTTTCTGAAAAATGCAATCATTACAAATTCTGGCAGTTTTTATGGCGTAATTAAAATGTCTAACAGGATACCTCTGGGAAGGCGAGGGAGTTTGCTATTTATAGAGCCGGCCCGGGTAGTGTTTCTTGCTAACTTTCTCATCTCATGACCTATAAATTGCTCTTAATAGCTAATCTGTCATCCCAGCTTCTCGTACCAGAAAGCTTGTTCCCTTATTAAACTGTTAATTTGCATCTGCAAGGGACATTTAAAATCCTGGGTTTGAAAACATTGCAGGTTAAAGCAATGCCTTATAAATGATTTATCACCTGGGATAGGTGGTAGATTTTTCTGATACCATATTATTCTTCCAGTCCCCATATAACTTTGATTAAAAAAAAAATCACTGGGAGGCCCCCTCTGGCCCTACAACGTGAGACCAGGCTGCCGGGTCGCCGTGAGAGGCCGTAGGTGTCAGGACCAGCATTCAAAGCCCAGAGCGAGGGGGTCTAGTCAGCTGCTCCAAGTGCGACGGCAGCAAAGGGTTCAGATCTGCCGCTGTTTCCTTTCTGGAATAACTGCAGCGAATCCCTGCAACCCTAGGGGGAGACGTGGGAACAGACCGGTTAGTTGTCCTGATGAACCCGACCCCAAGTCCTGAGCACACACCGTGGATGTGACCTAAGACTCCCAAAGACCCGTGATTGACATGCTAAGTCCCCTTCTCTCTGCCAAGTCTCAGAGACCCCATGCTGGACGCTCTCTTAGGATTTAACTGTTGCTTGGGATCTGCGGGAGCAGGGGAGGGAAGGGTAAGAGGAGGCCAGGGCAGACCTCAGATTCATGGGCTCCCCATAAGCTGCCCAGAGGCCACACGGGGAGGCAAGGTGACTGCTTACGAGACTCAGGTTAAGACCGAACCCCAGTAGCCACTTGGTAAAAGCTCTGAGATCAGAGCGAGTTTTTTGCACAAAGTCCTCAGCGATACTGATTACAAAATTCCTTCTTATTCTCATGCACGCGGCCTTGTGTGACTCTTGAGTACTCAACTCCAGGAGTCCGTGGCCACTGTTCAACCTTTTCCAGAACCACACGGTCCTCTCCGTTGCTGATCGCGGGTAGATCTTTCAGGCTACAGTTCGCTCGTTGAGTAGGGCGCGCGTGTCATTTGTGACAAGTCCCCAGAGAACGCAGCTCAGGCTTCAGCTTCTTCTGGCTTTTATTTGGGTGCAATTGAGTCTCCTAAATAAACCTGTGATTTGGATAACTTGCTACCAGGCTGACCTTTGCGTCTAGATTAGAGTAGGTTTTTATTTATTTTATTTATTTATTTAGTAGTACTGGGGTTTGAATTCAGGGCTACATGTTGAGGCACTCCAGCAACCCTTTTTTTTGGTGATAGGTTCTTTGAGATACGGTCTTGCGAACTGTTTACCTGGGGTGGCTTTGAACCTGGGATTACAGGCGTGAGCCACTGTGCCCGGCTAGATGAGTCCAGGTTTTGAAAGAACACCTAAAACTGATTGTAGTACCCAGTTCTCTTCAACGCAGCTTTTCTCCAAGAATATCTAAAATGTCACCATCCAGAAGCCTGTGGTAGCTGGCTGGGAGTTAACTGTCACAGTTACCTGTAGCTCTGAGGCTACCTGGGGAGTGACGTCACTACGTCATGCTCAGTGCGGTGTCAGTTATGCTGCAGTAACGGCCAATCCCAAAATCCCGGTGGCTTGAAACACAAAGGTTTGTTTCTGTGCCCAGCCAGGTGTCTGGGCCACAGCGACGTGCCTCTCACCTGAGAGCAGCAGTTGTGTGCTGGGGCTGCCCTGGCTCCTGGGAAATGCCCCTGATGGTCACCGGGGCAGGTGACACCGCCCCACCCCCGACTTCACGCGGGCAGGCGTGTGCAGTCCCACCTGTGTCACAGAGCCACGTGACCGTGCAAACGGCTCTGTCCCCTTCCTTCACTGCACTGCTTCCGTCCCCCGCGATGACCCAAGGCAGAGCGCTCCAAGTCACCAACTCACCCACTCACTTTGTGACTAACAGACTTTATTTTAGAGCAGGGAACCCAAGGGGTTGTAAAGAGTGTCCCCTCCTCCTCCCTCCCCCACTCCTCAAAGTCCCCTGGAACCACTCGTCTTTTTTGGACGTGGCTTTTGTCACCAAGCAATGTATGCTTAGGGCATCCTTTTTGTCCTTTCACAGCTCCATAGACGATTAATTTCTCTCTCGCACTGAGTAACGTCACGTTTAATCGTGCACCAGGGTGTATGTATGCATCCATCTTTGGAGTCTCCTGGTTTCTGACAGGTTGGTTGTTTTGTTATGAGGCCGGTTCTCACCATGTAGCCCAGGCTGGCCTCGAACTCACGAGCCTCCTGTGCCCCCACCTTTGAACAACTCCCAGCCGCTTGCAGTTCTTCTCAGCCGCTTGCAGTCCTTCTCAGCCATCAATAAAGCGGTGAGAAAGACTTCGGGGCAGGGTTTTCCGTTCATGGTGAATGCCTGGGAGCAGTGTTTGCTGGATCGCATGGCAAAACTACATTGACCTTGGAAAGAAATTCCCGCACCGTCTTCCAACGGGACCGCACCGTTTTTTCACTCTTTGCAGCAGTGAGTGAGAATCCATGGCTCTTCCTCTCGTTCTAACTCGCGTGTAGGTCCCTGCTTTCAGTGTGCATACCAGTGCACACCAGTCTGTGTGTCCCATGCTTTCTGTCTGTCCATCTTCAGAGCTTTTACCCTTTTTATTAATTCTTTTTAGTGAGCATTAGATTTTACTCCTTTTTAAAAGGTTTTTTTTTTTTTATTGTCATGCTGGGTGGGGGAACATTTACACAGGTTCTTACAATGGATCCAGTATCTCACACCTTTACTTGTAGGGCCACGACCCATTGCAGGTGAGGTCTTGCTGGATTCTTGGCCTGGCATGGCTGTCTACTTGTCCAAGCCCCCTTTGTGACAAGGACCTCCCTTCTCCACTGGATTGCCTTGACTCCTTTGTCAACCATGAGCTGCTTTTATTTGTGTGAGTCTAGAGAATTTTCTTGAATGCCCAAATGAATGGATCAGTCAACGAACAGACCCAAAACTCCGACCACTGGAGCAAAAGTGGCTTCTTAGTGTGTGTTGGACGTACCAGGGGCTCCAAAGTGTCCCTAACGAGAAGGTGACATTCTTACACAGATCTGCCAGAGAGTTTTTGGCACATGAAGACCGTGGCGCCCCCATTTCCCCCCCCCATCACGGGGCAAGCTGCTTCTGCTGCCATTTCACTTGTGGTGACATGGCTTTGCATCCTGTGTCCTGGTCACCTTCGCCACATCTCTCAAATGGCTGAAAATAAAGTGGGTTGGTGTAGAAAGAGAAAGTAAAACCGTACAATTTTGCAGTATTTTCTGTGTGTGAAGCTGTGAGCCAGGTCAGTACAAACTCTCTCGTGTGGCAAAAGCCCTGGGAGGTATTAATTTTCTCAGCTTACAATGGGGAAACTGAGGCACGGAGATGTCACGTGATGTGCGTTAAGCACAAAGTGTCACTTGGACCTGTGTATGCAGGATTGCACAGTCAGTCCCTGTGTCTGTGAGTCCTTTTGTCCACCCACAGGCTGTGGGTGATTGATTAAGCGCCTCAACTTCATGGGCGCCCACCTGGCAGGGCATCCGTGGCGCATGTGGACGGGGTAGGGAAAAAACAAACGCCGTATTTCTGCTGGTGGCTGCAGACACATTTCCCCAGCTCTGCCCAATGAATAAATCAGCAATTATTTCTGTCACACTTCCGTGCGTGGAATCCTCCCACAAAGTGGGACCCGCGTGGAAAGTAAGGTGTCACCGATGCAGTGATCGCCTTGCAGCTTACATATTATTTTATTTCTCAAACTGAAAAGCCCTGAAAGGCGGTCTGCAGACCTCTGGGCACATCCTGGTCCTTGCCAGTTCCATGGGGCCAAGTTGTGAAATGCAGAGCCTGGCAGATACTCAGGTCACAGAGTGGTGGTGACTGACCCCGGGGGCCACATTTGCAGCTGGGAGCTCTGCTTTGGCAGGAGCGTGGGTCATTTCTGTCTTGTAGACAGAGACAACCCATTGTCTGACTGCACGCAGAGGCCGTGTTAGCATCACTGCGCCAGTGCGTTTTAGCATTCAGACACAGATGTTCCAAACTGCTTCCTCGGTGGGAAGCAGCTGCTGGTGATCTAGCGCCGAAATCTCACAGAGAGCCATGCACGAGTCTGCTGGAGGGGGGACCCGCCACCCCCACCCCGCAAGTGTGGGCCTGGGATCCTCGTAACCACCCGCCCCCCACTACAGTGCTGGGCTCGCTCTACAGAAGCTCGAGCAAAGGTGGGTGATGACTTTGTAGTTCAGTCCCTGGTACGCACCATCGTGTGTCATTTGCCCGTGGCTGTGGTGACAGACAGGAATATAGAGGTTTGGTCACAGCGGCTGGCGTGAAGCTGTCAGTTGTCACTGGTAGCTTCTGCCAGGTCCCACGTCCCTACCCAGTCACCCTGCAGCCTGAGCCCCATGCACACTTTAGACGCTGCACAGTTTGCCCAGGCTCCTGTTCCCGATCCCTGTGGAGCATGCACAGTGTGTGATGGGCACCATTTTGGCAGGAAAGGTGACAAGGGAGAGGTAGAGCACTGATGCTAAATCCTGTCCCGTTCTTGCCCCGTACCCGCTGCCTTTCTGATTCCACAAGCTACGATGCCCATCGTAAATGATAGAGCCCCTCCCAGAGATGCAGGTTGGCAGGACACCCACCACTGAAGACCCTCGGCCCGACAGCACTGCCTGGCGCCTGGAGGATGCCAGGAAAGAGCGAGCACCCTGGTCCTCCCCGGCCCCTCACCCCTAGGAGGAGACGCCCCAACATTCCCTTTCCATCTGTTCAGGGAGCAGCAGTAAGGCCGCTCCCCAGTCTCCTGGCCTTTAGAGAGATGGAGAAGCAGAAGCCGGGGATCCCAGAGTTGTCACTTGGAGTCACCATGAAGCAGAAGTTGCCTGGAACAGTGCCGTGTGGGGCTCTGTGCCTGCCCCAAGCCTTATAAATCCATCCCTGCAGAGTGGGGCGTGCACTGCCTCCAACCCATCCCGTGTTTGGAGCTCTCTAGTGAATTCTTTATGGCCTGCACTTTTCCCAGAGGCTCAGGGCTGAGTTTGGACACACTCAGTTCCTGGTTTGGTGGCTGGGTCCTAAAAGGGTCCGTGCGCAAAACCATGGCTCAGAGTTCAGTGGCTGAAGGTCCCCGAGTTAGGAGGGGCGGTGCAGCTCTGAGCCAACTGTGTCTGACTCTGAGCCACCCCGGCTTCAGAGAGCGCGAGCCCTCCACGAGGGCAGCAAAGGCTTGTGGTGGCAGGGTCAGGGGACTGTGGCCTCCCTAGCCAGGCTTGGGTGGAAAAGAAGCCCAAAGAAGAAGGTGGGGAAGGCCCCATTTGGAAGCAGAGGACAGAGGCCGAGCCCTGGGCCTCCAGCAAGGGAGGGAAGCACTGTTGGGTGGGGTGCAGGTGCCGAGTGAGCAGGAGAAAGGCCCTAGGTACGAAGTGCTGACACCTTAGACCCAGAGAGGTGTCAGTTCCCGCCTTGGGAACCCGAGGCCAGCGCAATCCAGGTGGCCTCCTGGTGGACGTTACCTTGTTTCTGCCAGCACAGCACTGCAGCATTGTGATTGCTGGGGGGTGGGGGAGGGGGGTTCTCTTCCCACCGCTCAGGAAAAGACAAGAAAGTAAATTTCTAAGTGTGTATTTCCTCTCTAATTTCTGAGTCTTTTTTGTTGGAACATCTGTGAGATGACAAAAAAGCAACTTAAAACAACATGGAACGTTTTTGCAAATACACCATTTGCAAGCACGGTAAAAATAGTCTCCCAGTCATTTTGACCGAGAACTGCTGCTTCACAAGGAAAGAAAATCAAGTAGCAAGTCACTCATGTCTATAAAATATTAATAAACGTGTCCTGAGGTGCACAGACACAGAACATGTCACCTGGCTCCAGCAGGGACAGCATCGCCTCATCGAGGCCCTCTGGAACTGGCCTTGCCCACGTGTGACAGGCAAACTGTGCCCTTTGTTCTGCCAGGACCACGTGGTCATGCTGCAAACAGGCTCCCCCTTTGTCATGAAGAAAGGGCACCGTGTGGCCCTCAGCTACAGACACACAGTGAAGACGGGGGAGGACAGGCAAGCTTCCAACTTAGAATAAAAAGAGGGGAGCAGAGAAAGCCCAGCCCAACCCCCCCATTTATGTCTGCAAAGGAGTCAGGAAGCAAAGACAAGGCTGTCCGGGACCTCAGTGACCTGTGACCTCCCCTTTGCTGTTTCGTTCACCCTGTGTGGCACACTTTCATTAAGAACTTCAGACAAAAAGGATTTGTGTTCTGTTTTGGGGACAAGGAGAGCAGGGTGGCAACCAGTGGGAGGTTTGGGCGATGGCCCTGGCCTGAGATGCTGGGGCTACTGGAAGGACGCCTAGACAGGAAAGGACAGGCTGGAGAGCCGGGTGAGCCCGAGGGGCCGGGGAGGTTTGACGTGGCCAGTGGAGACACTGGTCGTACCCCACCCACTGTTTCCCTCTCAGAAATTCGCGGCTAAGCCCTCCACAGCTACCAGCACTGAGGAAGTGACATTGAAGGTGAAGAGAGCGGGCCCCTCAGTGGGTCCTGGGTCTCCAAATAGCCAGTCGTCACGGGCGGGTGGCATCTCCCTTGTGCACTTGCTTTGGAGAAAGACCAGAGTGGACAAGTGGCCAGGGGGCCCATTTCTCCCGCGAGTGTCCTGTGAGTGCGTGGTCATTAATTCCGGCTTTCTTACACGTGTTCTTACAGCACAGAGATCAGTAGGGACACAGAGCTGTGAGGTCACAGTGGATATTAAGATGGGAGTTACCTGAAACGCCAGCGTGTCTATTTTGAGATCAGCAATGAAAGCTACTGATCGGGCGGCCATTGTCGTCTGTTGGGGACTGGGAGTCCGATGACTATCATCTCGCTGATAGAAGCCACCAGTGGGGACGGGATTGCTAGCTCCAGGTGCGCCCTGTGACCTTTTATCTGCTGAGACGAACCAGAGTCATCTTTTGTTTCTCTTCTCCTCATCCTCTCTCCCCAGGCAGCTTCGTCAGCCCTGAGCAGCCTGGGCCACGTGTACACGGCCATCGGCGACTACCCCAACGCGCTGGCCAGTCACAAGCAGTGCGTCCTCCTGGCCAAGCAATCCAAAGATGAACTCTCGGAGGCCCGTGAGCTTGGCAACATGGGGGCCGTGTACATCGCCATGGGCGACTTCGAGAACGCCGTGCTGTGCCACGAGCAGCACCTGAAGATCGCCAAGGACCTGGGGATCAAACGCGAGGAGGCCCGAGCTTACAGCAACCTGGGCAGCGCCTACCACTACCGCGGGAACTTCGACAAAGCCATGTCGTACCACAGCTCCGTGCTGGAGCTGGCGCGGGAGCTGGCGGAGAAGGCCATCGAGATGCGCGCCTACGCGGGCCTGGGCCACGCCGCCAGGTGCATGCAGGACCTAGAAAGGGCCAAGCAGTACCACGAGCAGCAGCTGGGCATCGCCGAGGACCTCAGGGACCGGGCAGCAGAGGGTCGAGCATCCTCCAATCTGGGTAAGGACCGGGTGGCTTGCCTGGGCAAGTGCCATCTTCCTGGAGACGCTGCTCACTGCGCACCCGCCCCGGCGTGCACACCCCAGAGCCTGCCTGCCGCGACGTCCTGTCCCAGGGGTCCAGGGACCACGAAACACCCGCCTTCTGCTCTGTCCACGCTTACCCGGTTAGAGCGACAGAGGCAGGAAGGTGACAGGAGCTGTGACTGGTTAGGGAAGGGGCAGCTGACGGGGATTGTGCAGCGCGAGAGATTTTTTTTTTTTCCCTGCAGGGTCAGTGGACTGCCCCTCGCCTCAGAATATTTTATTCTTCAAAATGACGTGTGTCCCCAAATAACGCCGACCGCGTTAGTACGAACGCTAGTGAGTTTTGCGAGCGGCCCGTTTACATAGGATGGGTGTGCGGACGTTGTTTGGGTGGCACTTGGTTCCAGTGAAGACATTTATCCTTTGGGGGAGGCCCCCTGGGCTGGTGGGTGACCACGAGTGGCCGGTACCTTGCCGCCTTTGAGAAGACGTCGTCCTTTTGTCTCTGTAGCCAAGCACAGGTGTGTTTAGAAGAGTCGGTTCAGTTCACCCGGGTGCTTGGAGCCCCTGGTTCGTTCTGTGCCCATAGGGATTCAGGGCAGGGAGAGGACAAGGAGCAGGTGTCCCAGTTGGCACCTGTGCCAGAGGCAGGGCAACAGGCAGCCTCCTTGCCACCTGCAAACCCAGGCACCACCATGTCATAGCTGTTAGGAAAAGACCGGGCTCCTAGAGACGGCGCTGACGGTGTCCGGAGGGAGGGTCCGGAGGGAGGGTCCGGAGGGAGGGTCCGGAGAGCCCGGCAAGCACGGTCCTTCCACAGAGCACAAGAGTGGCAGTGTCCTCAGAAGCTGAGGACGTGCACGACCCTTGCCTTTGTGGAGTGGGGAAAGTGAGAGAGGTGCCCAGGACACCATGGCCTCCCCACAGGACACCGTCAGCGGCCGTGGGAAGGAATTCCTGGAAGAAAACCTGGGGGCTGAGAATAGACTGCGCGCTCCTTCCGGGAGCTGAAGCATGGGGAGCGACCCGGCCAGGACAGGAGGGCGCAGGTGACAAGGACCGCGAGGGAGGGTTGGCACGTCTCCGGAGTGTGCCAGAGGTGGCAGGAGGTTGGCGGGGGCTCTGGCCAGTGTGCAGGGGACAGGGGCTTCTGCGAGCTGCGGAGCGTGGGACTGAGTGGACGGAGGGTGGAGGACAGGTGCGTGAGACTGTCCACGTCCTCCTCATCCGGGTCAGCTTTCAGAAGGTGCGTGTCCCCCCAGTTGTTCAATTTGGGGCCTACGGTAGGTTGGTTATTTCCTCGTTATTCCTTTAATGCGGTGGCCTAAGTAGGGGTGCTGCAGGTTTTATGGGGTGCTTTCCATCATCCCTGACAGTGGGGTTTGTGTCGTGCCCCCCAAACACTTTTGTGGATCTTTCTGACTAGAAAATTTCTCAACCCTCTTGATACTTTTTAAAGGACCAACTTTGGCTTTTCCTCTAGAAACTGCTTTACCTGTGTCCATCCCATAATTTTTAATATGTTTTCACTTTCATCGAGCTTAAAAACATCTGTGAAGTTTTTTTGTTTAGTTTTTAACCATTTGGGGATCGGGTGTGGAGGCCAATGGCAGAGCGATTGCCTAGCAGGTGGAGGCCCTAGCACCGATGCCAAGGCTTCACAAAAACACGAAAAAGGGTTTCCTAGCGATTGTGTCATCATCAAACGGTGACGAGGGACCATACGCCGTGGACTTCAGAGGACGCCCTGCTCAGGTGACAGCTGGGGACGGGCAGCAGATGCTGTTGCTCCGATTCAGCTGTGGTCACCGTGCTTTCCTGACACGGTCTTAGAATGGCTCTGTGTCTCCTGCTTGGTGTCCACACGTTCTGTAGCTCGTTTTGCCTTTGACTTATTTTATTATTTTTCTGCATTTTTAATTTGATGCTTGTTAACTGTAGACAGCGCAGGGTTAGGTCTTGGTTTTGTTACTATTATTGTTGATTTGGGCAACTGTAGCTGTATTAGTACTTTTGTGTGGCTGTGACAGAGTACCTGACGTATGTCACATACAGGAGGACCATATGTGACCTCCTGGTCATGGCCACTGGCCCTGGGCACTCTGCAGAAGTCGTGGTGGCGGAGTGAGTGACAGAGGGGCTTCTTCACCTCGAGGTGGACGGAAGCAGAGAGGGAGGAGGGGACAGGGACCGAGTTCCACTTGGCCGACTTCCTCGGTCCAGGCCCCACCTCCTAAAGTTCTCACAACCTCCGCAAATCGCACTGCCACCACCTGGGGACTAAGTGGCGTTCAGAGCGTGAACCCGAGGGGGCGTTTTGTGCTCAGACATGCTTCTCCCCGCTCCCCAAAGACGCAGGGCCACCTCATAACGCAGCCCGCACTCGGCTCGTCTCCAAGAGGCGCCGAAGCTCCAGTGCTGTTCACAACTCCGGGTTCAAAGTCTCCTCTGTGACGCAGTCATCTCTGAGCGAGAAGCTAAAGTTAAAGAAAAAATGACATACCGACTTCTCAGACACAATGGCGTGAAATTCCCCTTCCCACAGAGAGGGAGGAGGAATGAGGCCCAAGCGAGACTGGAGCCCAGCAGGGCGGTCATTAAGTCTGGCAGCTCCGTGTCCAGCAGCAGGGCATGTGTGCCGTGACAGGCTGGGGGTCCCGGACGGCTTGGGTAACCTCACCCCTCGGACCTCGCCACCGCGGCCCGCGCGGCCTCTCTCTCGGGCTGGCTCCGCGTGTGGCGGCAGGTGGTCCTGGCTCCTGTCACCCCCACATTCCTTTAGTCTCCATCACATCTCTGGCCCTCACCCCCCTGGGGTCACTCATCGCCCTTCCCGGGGCTGTGTGCAGGCCTGTCCATGACGCCCAGCCTCCCGGGCTTCCCTTTGAAATCTGGGTGGAAGCCGCCGTGATCCCGCAAGCCGTGGCTTCTGCGTGCCTGCAAAGCGGGCGTCTCGTGTGGACGATGCCGGGGTCAGCTGCTTCTCCACCTGGAGCACAGTTCAGCACACGGTGCCGGCCACGGAGGAACGAATCCTGGAGAAACACTCTCTTAGGTGGCTCTCGGCCAGCAGGCAACCTGGCGTGCTCTGTTCCCACGGCGTCTTCCACGTGGGTTTCCTTTTCCCACCCTGGGCTGAGATGCCCTCAAGGCATCTTTCCTGTTGTGCCAACGCAAAGCAGTTGGCTTCTGTTTATTATTTATCTTATCTTATTTGGGGCAGAACTAGGGTTTGAACTCTGGGCCTCACACTTGCTAGGAAGGTGCTCTACCACTTTGAGCCATATCCCCGGCCCTTTTAAGTGTCTTTTCAAGTAGGCATCCATCTATTTTGTGCAGGAGATAGGTCTCCTGCTTCGCCGAGATTGCAGGCAAGCGCCACCTTGCCCAGTTTTTTGGGGTCTTGCTAACTTTTGCCTGGGCTGGCCTCAAACCTCAATCCTCCTGATCTCCACCTCCCAAGTAGCTGTGATTACAGGTGTGAGGAACCATGCCTAGCCAGTTGGATTCTTTTTAATGGAGTTCATCTCTTCAGAAACCATTCTTTCCTTAGCCCTATCTTTACGTGGACTTTCCTCACCAAACCACAAGTTGTTCAAGTCTTTCTTTCCCAGTTCTCATTGCCCACCTGGCTAAGTGCAACCAGCAGTGACCATGCCATCACCTGAGTGCTGGGCTGCCTCAAAACCTTGTCTGCCCCATCGCTCAGGCTCTCACCTCTGAACTCAGCCTCCCGCAGGGCCTCTGAGTGGCCTCTGGTCCAGCTCCCCATACAGTCCTCTAACCTGTCCGCACCCCCGGCACACTCTGGTCTTCTGGGCTCCCGCCAGAATCGCCCGCTGGGCTCTGTCCACAGCATCCTGGGACCCCTCACCACATCTCTGGACTTTCCAGACTCCTCTACCCAGCAGCTCTCAGGGCTTGGGAAGCCCACGGTCAGGTTTGGTCACAGCAGTGACACCGCTTCCCTGCTTTCTATACTTGTCACTTTGCGTCGCCATGCAGCTGCCTGACCTCCACAGTCAAGGGAGGACGATTGGCCTTGCTCACGGGCTCTGCTTGGGCAGAACATCGTGGTGGCCGAGCCCATGGTGGAGGAGCTCGTGGTGGACAGGAAGCGGGTTGAGGAGGGAACCAGAACCAGTACAGCCTTCAAAGAAGCGTGCTCTGGGCTGGCTTCCTCTATCTGGCCCACCAAATACCCCACAGCCAGGGACCATGTGTGTGACACAGGAGCCTGTGGGGCATGTCAGGTCAGTCACAATGGCAGCCTTTTAATTGGAGAATCTCTTCCCTTTATACTTAATGAAGTTATTAGTGTTGTAAGGTTTGGGTTCACCAGCCTACTGCTGGCTTTCTGTTGGTCCCTTTATATTTTGTCCCTGTGTTCTTCCTTCTCTGCTTTCTGTGGGTTAATTTAACATTTAGGTTTTACTTTAAGCATTTGCTTTTATCTTTTTACCCTTCTTGGCTGCTGTTTGGGGCTGCTCTTAACAGTCACATCGTGTGGCCGTGTATGGTGGTGCACACCTGTAATCCCAGCATGGGGTCCCATTTTGGGATCCCATTAACGTTTTTTGCCTAGCTGGCCTCAAGCTATGATCCTCCTAATCTCTGCCTCCAGGTGCCTGGGATTGCAAACATGAGCTGCTACGCTCAGCCTCTTCACCTTTTCATTTACTTGAAAATGTCTTTGTCTTATCTTCATTCATGAAGGATAGTTTTGCGGGATGTGCAGTTCTAGGTTAATATTTGTATTTAAAGGTGTCTTTCCAGTGCTTTTTGCCATGTGTGTTTTCTGGTAAGAACTCAGTGGATGTTGCGTTCCGCGTGTTATTTTTTTCTACACTGCTTTCGTGATTTTCAGCAGCATGACTGTAATATGGCAAACTGTGGCTTTCTTTGTTTTTTTTTCCCCCCCTGGTTCTTTGACCTTTTGGATCTGCAGATATATATCTTTTACCAAATTTAGGA